ACACAGCCACCAGGCTGAGAAAGATGCAGAAAGAGAATATAGGCCTCTGTATCCACATGCTGTTTGGCAGCTGCCTCTGGGTTTTTCTGGAATAAGAGAATTGTCCCTTTAGCAAGACCCCTTGAGGAGCCCTGTAAGGACATGGAGGGAACCAGAGAAATAAGCCACACAGAAAACTGGATGGAGCCGGTGGGAATGGGGACAAAACTGGTCTTGCTTTGTGACAGGGGCAACTGTGACAGGAGCAACTGAGGCTGTGGGACTGATAAGCATGGGCAGAAGGAGACCTCTTAAGGTATTTACCAAGGGGAAGCAGTTTCACACAAGGCTGGTGCTGGGCAACGCCATGAAAAAGAAAGCTGAAAGCCAGCGGGACCCAGCAGAGAAAGGACTATGGAGAGTACAGTACCAGGGAAGGTGGGTGTCCTAAACATTCGTCAGGTAAGAGTGGGAATGGAGTGCCTGTGTGGCAGGCGAATAGAGAGGGCATGGAGAGAGAGGTACTTATGTTAACCTATGAAAGAAGCCAGTTGGCAGAGACTGGAGGATGCTCCCCACCTGGGCTACATCTATGTGAGAGAAGCATACTCAGACAAGCATGGGAGAAGCTGGTACGGTGGAAATGGCTCACCGGGGCTCGCCATCTCTTGGCTGAGCCTCTTAGAGCGTCTCACCTGTCCTAGCTCCATTCTCAAGAGTACCTTCATCTAATAAACTGTCTCTGCTGCTTTCAAGTGTCTGTGGTCCAAGTCTTTGCTCTAGGACACAAGAGTCTTTGAACCTCAGTGTACAGCCTGGGGACTCTGACCCGCACATGTAAGGAGTGGGCCCATACTCAATTACCAAAGTCAGGTGCTACTCTGATATGACCCGGGTTGCTGCCAAAGGTAAACTGTCTAAAAAATTATATGTAGCATTTTAGACATGTGTGTCACATCAGTCAGAAGTGCAATGCTAGCAGGTCATACAGAGTCTACTTCACACCTCCTTGGGACTTGTCTAGAGTCCCTGGTGGTTTTCTTCCTGTTTTTAAAAAAACAGCATGTCTGTGTGTGTGTGTTTGTGTGTGTGTGTGCATGTGTATGTGCATGTGTGTGTGCATGTGTGTGTGTGTGTCTGTCTGTCTGTCTCTTTGTGTGTTAGGGTGTGTGTGTGTGTGTGTGTGGTGTGTGTGCGAATGCATGTGTGAGTGTGTATGGTCATGTCTGTACCATGGCACTCATGAGCATATAGGGTCAGAAGACAACCTGAAGGGATCTGTCTCTCCTTCTGACATGTGGGTTTTGGGGATAGAACTCAAATCCTCATACTTCAAGCAAACACCTCTGTCTTCTGAGCTATCTCACTGGCCCAGGACAGTCTGCTTCCTGTTCTCTCTCCTTCCTATCATATTAGACCCAGATTAAAGCATACACATACGGTTGCTCAAGAAACACACTGGTGGGAAACATTCTTTTTTATTCTAACACCACATATTGCCAATGTATCTAGATTCCTTCTGGAAATTTTCCCCGCAGACTCCCCAAAGAAGATTTTGCTAAAAATGCTGCAACCGACATGGGTGCTTGCGGCTAGTTCTAGAAAAATGAGCAATTTATTTAACCACAACATGTTTAACGTATGCAAATGATTCAATACACATAGCACATGAAATACAATTTAAAATTCCATAGTATATGAGATTCATATAAAACCCAATTGCATGAAAATAAAAGATGTCACAGACCTGGGTGTGATGCAGATCTGCAATGCTAGCTTTCAGGGGGTGGAGCCAAGAATATCAAGGGATCAAGGAAGCCCTAGAGAGATTTCAAAGCTGGACTACCTAAAAGCCTAGCTCAAACACCCTCCCCTAAATTTATACCATTAAGGAGATAATGGGGATCAGTGAGAAGGCTCAGTGGGTGAGAGTTCTTGCTGACAGGACTGACAATCTGAACGTAATTCCCAGAACCAACACAGTAGAAGGGAGAACCAATCCCCACAGGTGTCCTTTGAACTAAACACATGTGCTTCTCGTGTGCACCTACCCACATGAAATAAATAAATATTGTTTAATAAAATCACACATTCATCAAAAAGTCAGATAGTGAGATCAAGGGAAAAGTACTGAGTTAAAAAATATGAAACAAAGAATTTAAAAATAAACAGTCACTCTTCAACTCCAGCAATTCAATTCAGGAAATAAAAAAAACATTATGAATTGAAGCTATGGGGACTAATGGCACAAGACATTAAATATTGCATCTGAATAATATTGGATGAAAGAGTTGTTGCCCAATATGTAATGATCTCTTGGAAGGGAAAAACTACACACAGACACACACACACACACACACACACACACACACACACACACAGAGTTGAAGAATTTGATGCCCAAGACATTCCAAACACCTCTTAGCTTGATTAAATAAAATGCCCTTCACAAAGTTCTGCCTGACAATGAGAGTGATTGAGAACAATTTCTTTGTAATCATTAAGTAAGAACTAACAACAAAAGTACGCGTAATATCAACTCATTCATTATGGGGTTTCTCAACACTCTTAGATGGAATCTTCCCTTCCCCCCAAGAATGTTTCCTAAGTGGTTTTAAAACTCTACCAAGGTATGAGAGTTCCTGGAGACACAGCTGATCCCTGCCCCCATCATTAGGGCATCCAGATGTTTCCCTAGTCAATGGTTTTTCTGCCTGGGCTCCAACACATTTGCCTGGGCTCTAAAACATCCATTTTCAAGAATGTCTATGTGGAGTATTCAAGTTTTTTTAACCATAGTTTTGTATTAATTATCTTATTCAGCTAAACAATGAGCACATAACTAAGAAATAGGCAATAACCTTGGAGCAGATCAGTACATGTGATGGTTAGCTTTACATTTAAATGTGACAAAACCTAGAATTACCTGGGAAGACTTCAGTGAGAAATTATCTGGACTGGGTTGGCCTATGGGCCTGTCTGTGGGGATTGTCTTAATTATTAATGTTAACTGATGTGGGAAAGCTCAGCCCACTTTGGGTGTCACCATCCCCTGGTCTGGAGGCCTAGACTGTATCAGAGTAGAGAAATCGATCTGAGCACAAGCAAGGAGGCAAGCGAGTAAGCATGCATTCATTTCTCTGCTCTTGAAGGTAGATGTGATGTGACTATCTGTTTAAAGCTCCTGTCTTGACTTCCCTGCAATGATGAACTGATACCTGGGGTTTGTAAGCTGAAATAAATCCCTTAAGTTGCTTTTTTTCTCAGGCATTTTTACTGCATCAACAGAGATGAAACTAGAACATAGAAGGGACCAAGAATAAGTGAACTTCAGAAATAATAAGCGGTTTAATCTCCACTGCTTTTCAGTAAGGCTGTGTACTATTATTATCTTCATTTATCCAAGTGAGGAAAGAAAAACGGAAAGAGATTAGGTGACTCTGAAGTTTTTTAAAATAATAAAGCAGAGAGTAAGGATTCAAATAAAATCCCGAGAATCTGGCTCAAGTGCCCATGGCCTTAAGGAACTCAGAATCTCAAGGACATTGCTCTCAATAAAGGAAGCCAGGGCTCTGAGCCAGGGCTGTGGACAGCAGGCAGGAAGCAGGCCACAGGCTTCTTTTCCTGGTTATGCATATCATAAAACTATTCCAGATTTGTGGGTACTACAGTAGAACTATGCTTTTATTATAATTCCTTTGTTTTTGTTTTGTTTTGTGGCAGATTCTTGTGTAACCCAGGTCATCCTGGAACTCACTTTGTAATCAAAGATGATCCTGAATTCCTGATCCTCCTGCTTCAACTCTTGGGTGCTGAGATTTCAAGTCTACACCACTATGTCCCATTTTATGTAATGCTAAGGAGGGAACTCGGAGCTTCCACTGCTGATAGGCAAGCACATTAGCTACATCCCTAGACTGTATTTTTCGATGATGGTGTTCTAATTTTGTTTCCTGTTCTAAGACAAAACACCCTGATAGAGAACAAAACTTAGAGGAGAAAAGGATTTACAACCTACAATCCAGACTATGTTTTACAAATGTGGGGACATTACAGTGGAAGGGACAGAGAAAATGGAATGTGAACAGATTCATAGTCAGAATCAAGAGCAGGGAGAGAATGCACGTATGGCCTGTACTCAGCTCTAGCTCCCTATTTGTACACAGTTCAGGAACTCCTATCTAGGGAATGGTGCCACTCATAGTGGACTGGGTCCTTCCAGATCAAACACGGCAATCAAGACAATCTCTGACAGCCATGTCCAAGTGCAACCAAATGGAAACAATTCCTCATGTAGACTCTCTTCCCAAACAATCCTCTGGGATGGATCAAGTTAGTACCCTCACTTAAGTCTCAAATATCCCCACTTATGTCTCAAATACCTCAAACAAGAGCAATTAAGCAAAATCTTCTTTGATGACGGCTAGGATAGCTGAGGAAAGAACAATTAAGGTGGCATAAAGGCCTCAAAGTTACAGAGCATCTGGTATGTTTAGACTGTGTGTTGGAGAGCTGGGTGCATCCAGATCTCCTGCAAAGACCCCAAAACTTGGCGCAGATTCTCTCTCTGCATGTACTTTACATGCTGATATCTATACATGCCTTTTATTCTTAAGGAAATGGGCCTACCAAAATTACTACAAAAATCTGTATGTAAACACCTACACATCTTTCGCAACCATTTTACATTGTTTGCTTACTCATTCACCCATGCTTCCATATTATGCGGTATTGCGAAAAGGAAGCCAAGTGTTCCACAGGCCCTACCTAAAGTGCTTGCAGTTTCAGATACTAGTGTTGGGAAGCAAGTTGTGGTGCTCTTTTGAAGTCCATACAGCAGGACTTACTGAGTCAAGACCCTTCTACTGTGGTGGATTTTAATTGTGCGCACTGTTGACGAAGGGATCCTAATGGCAGACAGATCATCCATCTGGGAGAACTAAGAAAGCAAGACTGAGATTCACAGTCAGCACCAGCACCAGCAGGTTTTGCTCTCAGTGGGTAGACCGTGGGTGCCTTACCTCCAGGGCCTTCAGTCTCTTCAAGAGCAGCCTGGTGTTTTCCTTTCCTTCATCGGTACTGCTGCTTTCACTTCTTGAGTCTTCATCTACTGCTGAATGGAGGTCAGCCAGCTCTTCTTGGTGTTTTCTCTCTTCCTCAGACACTCTTTCCTGAAGCCCAAAAGAAAATTTCTGTTTTCAATAATCTACAGATGGAACACGGCAGAAATCTCAAGTGAGATGCCTGGATTGGACTCTGTTGCTTCCTAGCCCTTTCCTTGGCGGAGGTAGAAAAGAATTTGTAAAACAAGATGAGTGGTGTTGACATCAGAGAGCACAAGAGACTTGTATGCTGTGTGTGGGTGTATGTGCACATGCAAGGGTCCACATGTGTGCACCCAGGCCCATGTGTGTGTATACAAGAGGTAGGCCAGAAAGACATTCAGGGGGAATAGTCCTTAAATGCCACCACTTTGACTATTTTCATGACAGGGATTCTCACCGGTCTAGAACTCACCAAGTAAGCAAGGCTAGATGACAGCAAGCCTTGACCTGGGGATGTGTCTGTCCCCACATCCCCAGTGCTGGGACTGAAACATACGCCACCATGCCTAAATATTTTACATGAGTTTTGTGGGCTGAACTCAGGTTGTCATGCTTGCATATCAAGTACTTTGTTAACTGTGCTGTCTTTCCAGCCCTACATCAGAAGATGTTTTGTGTGTGGGTTTTTTTGTTTGTTTGTTTATTTTTTGGCTTCCCCCACCTAGACTCTAGTATAGTAAAGTCACTAGGCCCACCATGTCTGAAGATGCATGTTGCCTGCCAAGCTGGAGAAGCTACAGAGCCAGTCAAGCTTTGGGCACAGTCACGTGGTTAATCAATTTGTATCATCACAGTACAATCCAGGTAAAAACAGAGAATAATACACCCACTTTGATGCCTTCATCTGTGAAAGGCAAAGAGAATTATGAAACTCAATGTACATACAACTAATTAACTGATTTAAGAAAAAATAAATATCATACAATATTGAAATGTTGATTTCAGATTTTATATTGCATTTTTTGGTGTATGACATACATGCATATGTGCATTTTTTCATGTGTGTGGGGGCAGATGAATATGTGTGGTATGAACATATGTATGCATGCATTAATGCATGTATGAGGAGGACTGAGGTTGGTGGTAGAAAGATTTCTTTATCACTCCTCTACCTTATTCACTGAGACAGTATCGCTCAGTCAGAATAATAGGTTTTCCATAGGATTAATCTCAATAACCAGCTTGATCTGGGGGTCCCTTGTCTCTGTGTTTCAAGATTGCAATTACAGGCAGATTTGCATATCTATGTGGCATTTACATGGGGTCTTGGGATACAAACTTGAGTCTTTATGTCTGCAGGGCAAGTGTATACACTGCTGAGCTGTCTTTCCAGCCAGGTGGAATTCTGTGCTCAAACCAGATAGTTACTCCAGCCACGAATAACCTAATTTCTAAGGACTCTTGTGTTCCGCTTCTAACACTTCAGAATTAGTTGTACAGCCTTGAGGCAGACATAAAATGTTTTTTGTCTTGTCTTGCCTCCCTGTTGGAAGCTCCACACTCCACCTTGTCTCTGACAGCTTTTTGGAAGCTGAGAAGTGTTAATTTGAGACTCTCGTGTGGCTCTTGCTTTCAAGGGGGAAAATATACATCAAGAGACTATCATACAATGGGCAACAGAGATGGCTGAGTGGGTAAAAGTGCTTGCTGCCCAAGTATGAGGAACCGAGTTCAGGTCCCCATAAGTCATGTTAAAGTCAGATGCAATCTCATGTGTTTATATTCCCAGCATTCCTACAATGAGATGGGAGGCAGAGGCATGAGAATCCAGGGAAGCATGCAGGCCACTTAGCCTGGCATATACAACAGTAAACAAGAGATCCTATCCCAAACAAGGCGAAAGGTTAGCTTCAACAATCCAAAGTATCTTTTGTCTCTGTCATGTGTAACTATACTTATACATATGAACACAAGGACATGCATTCCATACAATTACACAAAAGGATAAAAAAGAGAGTACCATATGAACAATATTCCATCTGTTGTGTCATGACCAAGGCTCTGGGTCACATACAAGGTGAAATCATCCAATTTAATGCCCAGCACACACTGCAGTAATCTTGGCTCTGGTATAGCAGATTGCTAACCACCTGACCTGAAATGGATTATCCATATGGACAGATTTCTTTATATTTGGCACTAAATTAAGATCATCCATAAAGATAGAAGCAAAACACAATAACCTCTGCCTTTAAGGGACTCATGTTATCTATTTAGAAGGAAGCAACACTGGAGGAGGCACAGGTTCTCAAACTACATTCACCTAGGTGCTCTCAAGGATCCATAATACTTCAATTTTGAAAATGCATTATGAAGTATATAAAGGTATATCTTATAGTAGATATGCTTATAAGGCATATATGTCTATATGTATAGTATCCATGTATATAAAACACTTATCCAGTAGGTTGGCCCATGTTGTTTTGTGGAGACTTCTGAATATAATTTTAGCTGTGATTTCTGCATATGATAAATACCCAGTGAATTATGAAAGTGATAGCACCTGGCTGAGGAGACGACTCAGTCTGTAAAATGTTTGCCTTGCAAACACATGTACCTATGTTCCATTCCTAGAGTCACACAGAAAAAAAATCTAGTATGTTGGCACCTGGGATCCTAGCACAAATAATAAGTGTTTGATTCTACAGTTATAAACAAAACAAAGTAAAAAGCCAATTTCTCATACCTGATGTGAGATTGTCCTCAACAAACAAGCACACACTTGAATCAATATGCTCACAAGCACACACGTGCACACACACACACACACACACAGAGACATACACCATTGATGGTTAGAAACAGTGTGAAGATGTGAATTCTGCTCAGATAAGTACTAGGGCAATTTAAGTTACACACAGCGAGGGAACAAAGCCATGGGTCCTAAGCACTATTTCTAAAGCATTACTACCGGCCAGACTTCCAAACCCATGGGAAGGCACAGAAGTGTACGCATTTGTTAACCACTCAATGCTGGAGCTGAAGTGATCCCTATGCATCTCTTTTATGACTGAGCATCATAGGAGCAGGGAGAAGGCTCAGCACATAAAGGATGCTACCACCAAGTCCAGCCATCTGAGTTCATTCTCCAGGACCCACATGGTTGAAGAAGAGAACCAACTCTCACAAGTTGTCTTCTAACCTTCATGTGTGTCCTGTGGGATGCATATGTCTGGGCACATGTGCGCGCGCGTGCGTACACACACACACACACACACACACACACACACTGTTAGGACTTTACAGTTAACTAAAAGAAACAAAAAACACCAGCATGGTATGTAAAGCACACACACACAAACCTTAGAATGTGATAGGCATAGTCCAGATCTACCCTTTAGCAGCTCAGTAAGTGATCTTGGGCTACTTAGGTTGACTAAGTCTTGAGTTGTGTCGGTTTTTTTGTTTGTGTTCTTTTGCCCCCTAAATAAGACTGTTAGCATGCACATATGCATAGGTAGCCACTCTCATTATTCACAGTAGCCATGTTCCAGAATGTTGTCATGAACACTCAATTAGCAAGTACTGAATTTCATCGCTATAGTTCTACCTGGATTCCTGCACGACTTCGTGTAAAGCTATCTTGTCAAACACGTGCTGTGGACTGTTTACTATTGAAGCAGTCCCAAGAATATACATTATGCCCAAGTGTAACATCCCTACTTCCATTATCAGGACACATCCAGCTTTCTTTATACTATGAATGCTACCCTAAACTGTGCTTTGACAGATATCTTAAATAGTCAACTTGCTAATAAAAAAGTCGAAAATTAAAAACATATGATGTCAGGAGCGGGAGGCTGGCCGGCCACACTGTATCCACTTAGGAAGCAGAGGGTGAACAGCAGATGTAACCTCAAAGCCCACCCCCAGCCGTGCTTCCTCTAGAGAGGCTCCACCTCCTCCTAAAAGTGCCATAGCCTTCACAAACAGCTCCAGCAACAGGGAACAGGTGTTTGGACACATGAACATATGGAGGACAGGTTTCACATTTAAACCACAACAAAAGTGATTCTTGGGAAAAGCCCAAAAGCAGCTCAGCACAAAGAGGTTTGTTAACACTACAAACCATGTTCTGATCCAGGCGCTCAAGACAGGAAAAACAGAACTGAGTTGTTACAGTTAATGAAATTACAGTTAATGTTGGGAAATGTGACAAATGTCAAACCACATGTTTAGGCAATATAACTGTTGTTTGTGGCAAATGCCATGAAAAAAATAGAACAGAACACTGTGATGGACAGGTATGGCTTGGGATAAGATTTGGTGACATCAGAATGGAACTACCTGGAAAGCTGTCCTTTTGTGCGGATGCTGAATGATGAGAATAGTGAGACTGTAGAGTAGGGAAAAGACAATCCAAGCCGAAGGAAAATGGAAGCAAATGCTGAGAGGAGGGGACATTTCGTGGGAAAACAGAGAGGACCTCTTGCTGCAGCCAAGAAGATGCAAAAGGAACATCAGTGAGCAAGCAAGCCAGGAGCTGGGGGATAACTTAGTAAGGAAATGCTGACTGTGCAAGCAAGAAGGCCTGTGCAAGACTGACATCCAGAACCCATGTCAAAAATCAGAGGTTATGGGCTGGAGAGATGGCTCAGTGGTTAAGAGCACTGGTTGCTCTTCCAGAGGTCCTTGAGTTCAATTCCCAGCAACCACATGGTGGATCACAGCCATCTATAATGAGATCTGGTGCCCTCTTCTGGCCACAGGCACACATGGCAGGAATGTTGCATACATAATAAATAAATCTTTTTTTTTATTAGAAAAGGAGAAAAAAAAAACAAGTTTCCACCTCTTCCCAGCCTCCCATTTCCCTCCCCCTCCTCCCCCCTACGCCCCCTCCTTCCACCCTTCTCCCCCTCCCCCCACTCCTTTCCCCCTCCCTCTCCAGTCCAAAGAGCAGTCAGGGTTTTCTGCCCTGTGGTAAGACCTAGGACCTCCCACCTCCGTCCATATCTAGGAAGGTGAACATCCAAACTGGCTGGGCTCCCACAAAGCCATCACATTACGTAGGATCAAACCCCCGTGACATTGTCCTTTGCGTCTCATCAGCCCTCATAGTTCGC